GTTCAATAAAAGACAATACGTGTTGCAAAATCAAAAACAAAGCTTCCTCTATGAGGAAGCAAAAACAATAGTTTTTTTCGACAATACCAGAACCAAGATAAAACTAGGACCAAAACAGAAACTATTACGAGAAACACGACTTTTTATACCAAAACTATAAAATTTTGTTTAGCTTGTGCAGATTTGAAGGTAAATGCAACACGAGAAACTGGAAATATTATAAGGGTTTATCCCTCGCAATAGGAAGGAAGGAATTGTGTTGTGTTGGTCAACTCCGAAGAATGACATTCCAAGGGGACCATGCGTTCAATATTCAACAGCATTGTTGCTCTTTGGCGTTTGGCAGTTAGTTCCGAGAGCAAGGAAGGACCGGCCACTGTTCGCTCTACAAGTCTGTAACCTGCTACCGTGACCGTTAGGTGAGTTTCCAGTCTCCTGCCTTTTCTTACGAATCTCCAGCGCTTCGCATAAAGCATTTTGTAGTCTCGTCGGATTCCGTTGTCAGATCCGACTACGAGTAGAAGCAAGAAAACCAAGAAGGGAGAGAATCTAGATACAGTTGTTGCTAAGTGCTACGCGATAAATAGCATGTAAATGCGAACATTTTTACAATTATTGAGATTAATACTTAATAAAATATTTTATTTTTTATTATAAATACAAAAAATTTTAATCTCCAATCCCCCTCTTTTCTCTTTCTCTTTCTCTCTATTTCTGATAAATATCAGGTTTGAATTTAAATTTGGATAGTCGCGGTACCTAATTTCCTGTTGAATACTAACGAGAGAGATATACCTTCCAAAAAATCTTTTCCATGAAATATTTGAAAATTCTTCAACAAAGATGTTAATCTAAGAAAGACTTCTCAGTTCCGAGATAACATCTCGGTTCATTCGATGAACTTGTTACTTCTTGTTTTTTCTTTGAGAAAACCATATAATATATCCAACTATAGAGCTATTTCGGATAAACTATAAGCTTTTACATTAGTATCGAGGCTAATCTTAATACGAATTTCTATAAGCCATAAAATAATATTTAAATTATCTAAATGCGTCAGGACAATTTTGATAGAAATAATATTACTTATTTTTTGACATTTCATCACTATCGATTAGAACAGGATTGCGAAGGAAATGTGATTTGACAGTGCTCAATGAATTGCGGCAGAAAATCCTTTGCCTTTACGTATTCCAATCTTGTTGTTCATGTATGGCACAAGGCATATCGAAGGGATTGAGAGAATGAGAATGGAACTGGGATCACAGGGAATGGGAATGGAATTTGAAGCTCCCCGCCCATCCTTCCCCTGTCTCATACGGATACGTCCGGTACGTTCATTCACTGATCCTGTCCATTCATATTCTTCGTGTTCTACGCCCAACATTGTTGCATCTAAACTTACCTGAGCCATTCGATTCAACTTTCCATCGAGATGCTATAATGGCTGATTCTGCAACAGAAATATTTTTTTAATCCTTTTAGCAATGATTATATTAAATATTTAGATATATTTTTATCTCTACACAGATAAAAGATTATTCTGTTATGTCTAGAGATTTATATTTTGATCCATAAACTAAATATATACAAGATATTTTATACTTTAAATATTAATATTAATTTTTTTATATTGCAGGAGAATGCGGATAAGATAAAAGACTTATATTACAATTATTTTATTATATTATAAATATCATGCATAAATATCGCGATTGTTGAATTTTTCATCGCTGAGAATTAGTTGGTCTGAAGTTAAATATTTCTTTGTCGCTGAATTATCCTTTATCGACAAATATACAATATTTCTACCGCAAATATTTTTTCTGTAAAATGTGCATCATGCATCGATGAACTTTGTTTCGTATACATACCACATGATCAATCCTATTTTCCAAACCATTTCACGGAGCCAATATATTGCCAGGCAGACTTTATTCAGGCGGAAGTTATAAATATAAATTATATTTAGAAACTGAAAAATATTTTTAATTATAAAAAAAGAGTTTATTTATAATTGGCTATAATAAATTCCGCGATTCGTACAAAAAGATAGTTTTGAAACAAAATATCTCTCTTAACAATTTATTGAAATAATGTAGTATATAATAATTAATATATATAAAAATAGTAAAATTATAGATAGACGCACGCAATTATACATATTTTTAAGGATTATATAAAAGTAATAATAATCCTATTAATTTTAATCACTTGAATCTCTTAATGACTGTTAATGTCATTAATTACATTACAAAACATTTATTACAATATATTAATCCTTATAGGCTACGGTTTTGATTTCCCATCACGCATCGCAGTCTTCAACATGCAAAGTGCGTATAAAAATCGGTGTGATATTGATTATCGATTGAAGTTGTGAGCTGCAAAATCCATCATTAATTATGTCGTAATCACCTACGCATATTCTTTAAGCTCGTTCAGCATTTAATTCGACAGAAAAGCTGCATATAATCATAAAAGGTATAATTATTTATATTTTTGACAATAATATAAAAGTTTTATTTTTGTAATTGTAAATTAGATTCAAAACTGATAATTGTATATAGTTTGCCTAAAAATATGTTTTATTTGAATTAGTTGATAGCTGTATACTTTGTGCGCGGTTGTTAAAAGCGCGATAAAAAGATAAATAAACAAAAAGATACATAGCTCTCTCTTTCTCTCTCTCTTTCTCTCTGTAGAGGCTTTGTTTTGTTATTATTCATCGATTCCCGCGTAATTTAACTCTTTGACTGTGGAATTTCTTTATCAGCGTTCAGAAGCTATTTCAATGTTGAAGACAAAGATTGTAAAGCTGATATAATCGAGAAGATAATACGCCCAAGAATTAAAATTACAGCTTATCATTATTTGATAGTTAATAGCGATTATTTACATTCCGTTATCGTATCTGAGTGATGTCAAATAATGTTTACATACTTGATTTTCAATATTTGTCTCACGAAAAGAATATATTAATAGATTTATATATATAATAATTAATATATATAAAAATAGTAAAATTATAGATAGACGCACGCAATTATACATATTTTTAAGGATTATATAAAAGTAATAATAATCCTATTAATTTTAATCACTTGAATCTCTTAATGACTGTTAATGTCATTAATTACATTACAAAACATTTATTACAATATATTAATCCTTATAGGCTACGGTTTTGATTTCCCATCACGCATCGCAGTCTTCAACATGCAAAGTGCGTATAAAAATCGGTGTGATATTGATTATCGATTGAAGTTGTGAGCTGCGAAATCCATCATTAATTATGTCGTAATCACGTACGCATATTCTTTAAGCTCGTTCAGCATTTAATTCGACAGAAAAGCTGCATATAATCATAAAAGGTATAATTATTTATATTTTTGACAATAATATAAAAGTTTTATTTTTGTAATTGTAAATTAGATTCAAAACTGATAATTGTATATAGTTCGCCTAAAAATATGTTTTATTTGAATTAGTTGATAGCTTTGTGCGCGATTATAAAATATATAACTTATAAAAATAATATATAACATATAAAATTTCGTTTATCATTACAATTAATTAAATGTACAATAATGAAGTTTGATTAAATGTTTTAACAATATCTTATACACGTACATTCTCTCTTTTTCTTTACTTTCGGCGATAATATTTGACAATGTCAAATTTCGTAGGTACACAAGAACAGAGAAAAGAAAGAAGTTTTTCGGAAACATCGAACGAGAACCCTTGATCCCAGCACCGCGTCGACTCCAATTCAGACATAATTGATGCGTCGACCGCACACGCGCTCAGTGCGCCGTGGAAGGGAGACGACGGAGTGGGGAGACGGAGGCGCCTGCCGAAGAAGAGCAGAGGGAAGGGGGATCAGTAGCGGCACGCATGACGCGGAACTCGGAAGAG